ATGTCGAATTATTTATAATCGAAGGAATTACATGTAACAATGCAATGATGGATTTAGGAACGACTGTATTCAGTGATGGTCAAGCCTATGTAGGTTTGTCACGAGTAAGTAAATTGGAAGGCCTACATTTGATAAATTTCAATCCAGCATCAGTTAAAGCAAACTCGAGAGCCATTGTAGAATATAATCGACTGAGATCTATATTCAAATCTGAACTGCCACAAATCAATCCGTCCGAGAAAAAGGTTGTGAAAATGTACGATCGTCGATGGGCTATCCCTAATATCATTGATGATGTGCAGAATTATGATTGTGAGGAACCAGAAAGTATAGTTACGTGGAAAATATATGGCCTTTGCAATAACGATGCTGTTTCGTGTTACGCTAATGTAATATTACAATGTGCGTTTCATTGCGTACGTATTAGGCAACAAATACTGAAAAATAAAGCATCGAATGCATTGACTGATGCTATCTGCGCGTATGGTGAACGTAAATATTGCAACATTCAAGCGGTTAGAAGATCTGTCGGAAAACGCTTCGAAGAACGAACACAACAAGATGTTTCGGAATTTTTTACGGCTCTAATGTCGACGTATTCCGACATCAATGATGTATTAAAACTCGAATTAAAGCACGTAACATGTTGCTCGAATGTCAAATGTAATTACAATGTAACTAAGCTGGAAAGCAGTAGTTTGTTAATATTACCTATACATTCGACATTAAAAAGGAAAAAAGGTGTCACTCTACAAAGTTTGATTAATGTAGAATTTTCTAAATGGGAAACGATAAACGGCAATTGTAACGAATGTAAGGGCACCGTGTTGAAAAAGAAAACCGTAATCGAATCAACTTTATTCGTCGTAGTAATACAGCTCAATTTATATACTTTTGTAAACGGTGCTTCTAAAAAAATTATCAACAATCGGATTACCGCCGTGCCGACGAGTAATATCACGATTAATATTCGTTAAAAAAAGTACAAGCTAATAAGCGCTATATTTCACGAAGGTGAAGAAATGAATCGTGGTCACTACACGTGTATGTTGAGAGTTGACACAAAATCGGAATGGTATTACTCTAATGATATGGAAGTGTTCAAGAAAAAATGGCCCAAAGGAGCACAAGGGGCATACATATTGTTCTTAGAACAGATTAAATAATGGCGCTGTATAAAGGCTGCCGTAAACGCTACATTAAAACATCAACTGTTCTAGCGCTGTATAAAAGTTGCCGTAAGCGCCAAAATAAAATATCGGCTGCTCTGGCGCTTTATAAAAGCTGCTGTAAGCGCTGCATTAAAACGAGTGCAATAAGTTTCTAATTTGACCTAGGCTTCATGACATTTCAAAAAGTATCATCAAGAAAAAAATTATCAGACAGAAATATGTATGTCGTGTTAAAATCGGAGAGACGAAGAAAAATATATGGTTGCGTTCTCACGAGAATGGGCGATGGAGGGGCCCATTCTTTATTTTCAATATTCATACAAGAATATAAATTCATTCTGTTGCAATTGAAATAAATGTGCAATGTATCGTTAAAAGTTATTACAATTATACAAACATTTACATATATGATTAAATAAAATATATATGTATACTATAATATAATTATATATTTTATATATGTACATATATACCATATATTTCAATTATTTTGAACTGTATTGCATAAATTGTTACTTATACAAAGTTATGTGATAAGAATCGAAAATACATATGTGATACTTGAATTACTAGAAAGCTGCTCTATATATCTGTACTTTAAAAAGTAAGTGATATCCTAAAAAAATCATAAAAATGAAAAGGTCAGGCCATGTTCAAAAGAAGGTACTCAAAAATTTAAACGATCTAATAATAAATTATCACGAAAAGTAACTGATATGTTATTCAAGGTGCCAGTTCAAAGTGAACATACGTAAAGTGTATATTATCTAAATTTAGTAATAATATATTACCATGAAAAGTAACTGTGATATTTTATTCAAGGTGCAAGTTCACATTGAATATACATACATATAAGTAAAACTGATTACAATTTGATTCTAGAAAATAAGTGCGATATGTTATTCTTAGTGCACAAAATATAATAGTCGTTTATAGAGATTTGATTTGAAATTCATACTAGCCCGTACAATGAAAAATAATTGCTCGTAATTCCAGAGTACCAATTTGTTAATGACTCAGAAAAATAACATGGCGGCCTGCTCTCAAAAAACTTTCGATGGGTAGAATAAATAATTGAAATAAGAGTTGTGAAAATTGTATAAATTAAAAACCTCCAATCTTTCTTTAGTAAAATTTCGAATTTTCGTATCAACTTCCGATTTGTGTTATACCGTATTTTCAGGGAGTAAGTTATTGATCAGAAAACTTTGCCTTGTTGCTCGAAACGGGTGTATATTAAGTAAAATTTATAAATGTACAGTTCTCAGGTCAACTACAATAAAGCTATACGCTTAAAAAGTTTACTGATTATTTGTCGTAATATACAATAAAAAATTACATATTAATTATTCAAGATACAAGTGAGAAATAAATATCATTAAAATATACAAAAAAAATTTATCAATTTGACTCTGAAAAGTAAGTGACATGGTTCTCAAAGTGCAAGGTTTCATTTGACTTACAATTTTCTTCAGAAACACAGAAGAAAAAGGTATTTGTATATAGTTTTGTATATTCACTTTGTTGTGTGTGTAGAGCTTTTAAAAATACGTTGAATCCTTATTCTAATCTAATCTTCTTCTAATGTAATACTTTTCGTATTTCAAATGTTGTAGTAATTATTCTGTAAGAGCTTCGACATTATTTCTAAATGGACATCGAGAAACATCATAGTTTTTTGAGAGCAGGCCGCCATGTTATTTTTCTGAGTCATTAACAAATTGGTACTCTGGAATTACGAGCAATTATTTTTCATTGTACGGGCTAGTATGAATTTCAAATCAAATCTCTATAAACGACTATTATATTTTGTGCACTAAGAATAACATATCGCACTTATTTTCTAGAATCAAATTGTAATCAGTTTTACTTATATGTATGTATATTCAATGTGAACTTGCACCTTGAATAAAATATCACAGTTACTTTTCATGGTAATATATTATTACTAAATTTAGATAATATACACTTTACGTATGTTCACTTTGAACTGGCACCTTGAATAACATATCAGTTACTTTTCGTGATAATTTATTATTAGATCGTTTAAATTTTTGAGTACCTTCTTTTGAACATGGCCTGACCTTTTCATTTTTATGATTTTTTTAGGATATATATAATCCTGATGACGTCAGCGGACGCGGACAGAGAAGAAGAAGAAGAAGAAGAAGACGACAACGTTACTTCATTTTTCATGAAAAACGTCATTTTTTGACCGCTTGTATCTCCAGAACGGCTTGACCGATTTTATTCCTTCTTGGCTCAAATTACTCGTGGCGATGCTGCCTTTCAGGTTGTATTACGAGCAATTCAAAATTTTTTATATTTTAGTAGTTCTACACCTCCCAAGAATAGACTTTGATGGTGCAGGATAAGGAGACTTGTAGTGTCTTTTAAGGTCTTTTAGGGTTTAAACATGGCCGGAGACACTACCGCGTATCCTAATATTGATAGTACTTGGAATGTCACAATTAGTTTCAACGAAGGATTCATTACTGGAGTCATTTGACAAATATTCCGCTATATGTGTTGTCCCAATATCAGCAACATCACCCGTGTGAATAAAGACATTGCTTTGAGTTAGAGGAATATCAAAATCCATGGAAGAAGCTGATAACTGGTCGTTGTGTATCTTATTGGCAATTGAATAATTGAGTAGACTGACATGATCGATATGGCAACTATGAGATAAAGGTGTTATATGAGAAGTAGATGGCTGATTATGATCTGTCAAGTACTGTGCAATTTGTGCATTGAGCAATTGGTTTTTTCTACGTTTAGATAATGAGGCAATATCTTTTGGCATTTTTTAAAAAATGATCCATTAAAAAAATTTCATTTAAATTTATGATGGATAAAAAGGTAGTACAAAGGTGTATAATATTGAAGATACTGAGTGCAATTACAGTTGAAAAATCTGTAAGATAAAGAGAAATAAGAAATAAAAAATGATAATATAATTTTAAATATCAATAGTTTTCTTAGTAATTTGCTTTTACACTGCTATTATGACAATAATAGAAAGTGTTTATTGATATTAATTATTAGTAACTAAAAAGAAATTGTAAGTATTTGTAATTGTATACTCAACAATGCACTATTCAGAATATGGCAATATGTATTACAGTAGCATGTAATAGATAAAATTCAAAAACAAAAATAGAAACCCAAATGCCCAAGCATAATTATCGTTTCACTGTCTATAATGATTTATGCAAATGTGGCTAAACTTTTAATTTTGGCTATTTAAAAGCTACAAAATACAAGATTAGGTAATAATGCAGAGTGATAGTTAAACTTGAGCAAGGCTAATCTATTTAAGAATGTGGAACTAAAAACAAAATAGTTTTTATGCCTCCTTACTTAATTATCACATACGTACCTGATTAATAATGCGAGCTTTTATAAATTGTGCTTATATATATATATATATATATATTGTGAATTATTTTTTATTATATATTATTGTATATATCTCATCAACGCCTTCTACTTTCTGATAGTGTGAAATCATCTATAAAAAAATTTGTTTCTTCCAGAAGTGTGGAGAATCTGTGAAAAAGTTACCAAGATTAAATTTATTTGCTGAGTTTAACTATATACGATTTAAGTTAGAAAATTATTGAGAATAAACATATACTAAGAAATAAAGAGTATGCATTTTTAATTTGACTCGAATTATTGTATAAATGTGGTCGAATAGAGGTTATGAGGTTATAACTACCAAAAGCGATTGAGTAATTTTATATAAGAGGCAAATTCTCCGAGATTCTTATAAAATAATATTTTATTAGCACTACATCCTTCAGCACCTTTATATACATATACCTTTGTACTTTAAGATGTCCTACACGTTGCCGAAAGAACAAAAAATTACTCTCTCACTTGTTACACACACACGTTACACGTCTGCCGTTCCTAGCCCTTTATACTGCGCAAAGAGAGAACGTCCCTCGGTCTACGCATAGGCGGCAAAATGGGGAGAGCGTGGCGCGTATTATTCAATGCTGTATACGTAAATATATACATGCTTGGGTAAGCTTGAATCCGGATTATTTCAGCTTAAAAAAGTGAAATAATTGAAATAATTAAAATTATAGGAATAATTAAACTAATTTCTTATTTGAAATAAATTAATAATTATAACAATAATTTGATGTTTCGGAGGCTTATTGGTGCTATTTGTTGCTACAGCATTGACAAGCTATATATACGAGGTGTGTTCAAAAAGTATCGCGAATTTTGTGTTTTTTCAAAAATTATTTATTTATTCATGAATATCGATTTTGTCCCCTTCAAAGTAATCTCCACCAGATATTATACACTTGTGCCAACGTTTTTTCCAATCCTCGAAGCACTTCAAAAAATCATTTTTTGTGATCTTGTTCAGCTCCTCCTTCGATGCCGTCTTTATCTCCTCAATCGTAGCGTAGCGTCGTCCTTTCATGGGCCTCTTCAGTTTCGGGAACAAGAAAAAGTCACAGGAGGCCAGATCTGGGGAATACGGTGGCTGCGGCATTATTAGTGTGTTGTTTTTGGCCAAAAATTCGCGCACAAGCAACGATGTGTGAGCAGGGGCGTTATCATGGTGCAAAAGCCAATTTTTGTTCTTCCACAAATCCAGGCGTTTCTGGCGGATTGCTTCGCGCAATTTGCGCATAACTTGCAGGTAATATTCCTTATTGACCGTTCTACCCTGTGGCAAGAACTCATGATGCACCACGCCCCTGCAATCGAAAAAAACTGTAAGCAAAACCTTCACATTTGACCGAACTTGGCGCGCTTTTTTCGGTCTTGGCTCGTGCGGCAGCTTCCATTGGGATGATTGAGCTTTGGTTTCCACGTCATAACCATAAACCCATGATTCGTCACCAGTTATGACCCTCTGGAGCAAATTTGGGTAGTCGCGGACAGAGTCCAACATCTCCTGAGCAATGTTAATGCGATGCTGTTTTTGGTCGAAATTGAGCAATTTTGGTACGAATTTCGCGGCGACCCGTGTCATGCCCAAATCATTGGTAAAAATCGAATGGCACGAGCCAATCGATATGTTTAGGTCCTCAGCAACTTCTCTAACGGTGATTCGACGATTGACCAATACTATTTTCTTCACTTCATCAATGTTTTCGTCTGTTGTTGACGTGCTTGGGCGTCCGGCACGCTCTTCGTCGTTCACATCTTCTCGGCCCTCGGAAAACATTTTGTACCACCGATAAACGTTGCTTCGGTCCAAGGTAGCTTCACCATATGCCACAGTCAACATTCGGAATGCGTCCGCGCACTTAATTTTGTTTTTCACACAAAATTTGATACAGATTCTTTGATCCATTTTTTGGAATAGGCAAAAATCGAAGACGAGCCAAAACACGTGCAAGCAAAGCAGCTGTCAAAAATTAACTGAACATTCAAAATGGCCGTACTTGTCGGCATAAATGAGAAACATGAGTACCAACATAACGCCACAAAAAAATCGAAAATCGAATATACGTAACCCGCGGAAATTCAAAATTCGCGATACTTTTTGAACACACCTCGTAGGTACTTTAATATATTCACAACTCACAACACGGCACTTGCGGCGCGACATAATTATATCATACGCAATGATTATATATATATATATATATATATATATATATATCCACCGATAAAAAAACGTTAATAGTAAAAATTAACAGATGTTGCATTACTGTTATGTTATTCCGTTACACTCTATTAATATTATCAGAATATAACTAAAGTTATAATAACATTGATACAAGCATATTACGTAACAATTACACAATTTTGTTACATAACTGTAGTACTAAAATGATATATAATAGTTATATTACCTGAAGGTAACAAATGTTACATTACATGTAACTCGCATGTTATATTGCCTTTATAAAACGTGTTTACTGGAATGTAACTATCTACAATTATATGAATTATATTATATTAATAATATATACCTACTTTAAGAATTATATATTTATTATGTATTTCAAAAATTACCATTTTCTTTGATGATTTTTAATATAGGAATTTTTTCCCAATCATTTTCAGGGATAATCTTATCTATTTTAGATTGTTTCAAATTTACAGATCCGTCTGGAGGAATTCGAACATGTTTCAAATCCTTTGTAATCCACAAAGAAGGATACACTTTCTTTTTATTAGAAGAATCGTGAATAATAACATACTCCTTCATTGCTAATTATCTAAAACATTATAAACAAACAATTCAGCACTATCTTTTCATTGATTTGGACATTCCGATGCTCTAAAAGTTTTTTTTTTTTTGCTTCCTTCAATAAGCTTAGTGCTAGTAATTTTTTTTATTAAACATCATAGAAATATGTTTTCATGATATAGGGATTAAAATATTATTAGAATAAACGGGTGTATGTACGAATGTGCGTGTGCGTGTGTATACATGTGTATGTGTGTCGCACCCATATCTCGCAAATCTCGGCACATATTTTTTGTCTTTTTGTGTGTATAAATAGATAGTACAATAAAATTTTAGATATATACTTTATTAGTTACAAAATTACCCGAAAGTGGTCTTTAAAAATTAGTTTTTTGAATTTAAAGGTTTTGTTTAAAATATAATTTTGATAACCTAAATATCACCGTTTTTCAAATTGTTACCCACCATTTATTTAACTTAACCTAACAATTCTAATGTAAAAATGTAGGAAATGTGAAGTGACTTACGTGACTACATGCTGTGTCTAGGTTCTATATATATACAGGGCGTCTCATTTTAAAACATATATATTTTATTTAATATACAATTTATTTTTCAAATGTTTCGAATGTATGAATTAACGGATTTGTTACATAAACATTTCCCGCACAGGGAATTTTAAATACTTTAGCATTTATGCAATCTAAAGACCAACTTTTAATACAGTTTTCAGACTCTTTTACAATTTTAATGCCCAAAGAATCGCTTGGTAACCCATCTATGGTGAATAATTGGTTTTTATTCTCTAACTTTTTTCCTATGATGTATACAATATCATTATTTTTAGCAATGTTCAAAATATTAACAATAGATCCATTTTTTAAAATCACACAATTATTTCTGTCATCACTAATATCTATTTTACATGATGGTGTTATTAACATTTTAAACTGCGATTCGTATTGACGATCGGTAGTTAACATTCCATTATAATGTTGTTTCTCAAATCAAATATCATTATTATCAAAACACTTTTTAAAATTATGAACTAATTCATACTCTTCAATTCTTCTTGCAAGTTGTTGCAACGGCTTCTCTCCTTTTCTAATAAATTTTTTTAAAGAGCAAATATAATTTTCAAATGGGAAGGCGCTGTAGAAATTGAGAGGACCAAACTTTTGTACATCCTTACTTAAATGTATCGCATTGTGAACATTATATGTTACATTTCCACGACCATAAATCTTTTGAAAATCATAAACAAAATGAAGTAATAAATTTTCAGCAAATTTAATATTTTCAATGTTTTGTATTAGCATTTTATTTGACAATATAACAATCGCAGTGTGTAATTTTAAAAAATGTTCGTAAACTTTTGATTTCAAAATATCTTTCAATACAACCGGACCAAAGTAAATCAGAAAATGTCTGAATTCAGTGGCCTTCCAAATTTTATAATATTTTAATGATCTTGAGCGTCTGTTAAATTCGAAAGGTAGTACATACTTTAAATTTTCTAGCCTTTCTGAAACTAATGCTATTTGTTCTGCAGATAGTTTATACATTTTACTCTTTCTGCCTTTATTACCAATCCCCAATGTCGTATTAACTGTTTCATAACACCAAGATAAACCAAGTGCATACAATCTAAAGTTACATTGGAAACTAAGCCTACTTTAGGCAATTCATTTAAAATTGTAGATCCACGTTGATAATCGCCTAAATACTTTAAATTTTGAAAATCATTATCAGATCTTAGTAAATCATTACATAGCTTCAAAAGACTTTTAAAGGTTTTCACTGAAAAGCATACACATTTTCCGTAGTCACCTTCAATAACACATTTGCTACAACTAAAATAGCCAGAGGGATACTTTTTGCACAAAACCTACGATTTAGCCGGAGCATCGCAATTGATAATTTTAATGAAGACTTTGTACATTTTGCCATTATGCAAGAATCCATCATTTATAAGTTGTTTCGCTTCTTCTACGAACGATCTTAACAGATTGTTTTGATCTTCAGGTTTGTGTTCACCATAATAAACTCCAGAAAGGTGTACAATATTTAAAAGAAGATCTTTCAGTAAAATTAGCCATAGACCTTTTTCATTTGATCTTCCTGTAATCGCAGCACCATCAATATTAACGGAAAGATTAACGCTATCAAATTTGTGTTTGAGTAAAATTCTACATTCGATTACTGTTTGAACAAAATTTTTAACTCCCAAGTGACAGTATTGTCCATTTTCCATATTAACAATATTTGTCACTCTAGGTGTTTTTAATAAAGTACGAGAGTCTTTGGGAAAAACCGTATCGGTATATTTCTTTAGAATGATTAATAATGCAGCAATATAGCGTTATGTTTTATTTGAAAATTTATTGCCCATTCAGCAATTTCTTTTCGAAACTTATCATCCTTTGTCACTAGATTAAAAAAGTCATACACATCTTTATCGTCATTACTTTCGATGTCAGGAATGCTTTCTGCGTCACTATCGCTATAACGATAAACGTCATCTTCAGAGATACCACTCTCATCGTCTACATGATTACTATTTTCACCATCTGAATGATGTAAGACACAAGCATCTGCGTTTAATTGTTGAACGTCAGAGTTGTCACTTTCGTGTGTATAATTTGAATCGATGTAGCATATATGCGGTGCAACATTGAGTATTGGAGATTGGGTGCCACTTTGAATTTGTGGTTGCAAATTTTCACTTTGCATAGACGATTGTTCGGATACGGTACCTTCTACTGCCGA